AATCCCATTTAATGTACCCTTAAAAATACCATTATTTTTTTATAAATTATTATAAATTGGGTTCAACCCATACTTTAACAAATTTTAATATATTTACTTAATTTATCATTCATTTTAATAACAAAACCCAATATTTATTGTACAATTCAAATCTAACTTAACTCCTCAACACATTTGCCATTTAATATTGTAAAGGAAAAATCATATGGTAAATTTTTATAAATTATTGTCAATTGAGATAAGGGAAGATTTTTCTTCTTCTTAAAAAAATCACCATGGGGATGGGAAGTGCTTTCTGATCACATGGGGCCTTATTGTCGATGTTAATATCTCTATATTAACAATTAAAATGTTCATACTCATTGAGAATTTAGAACAAAATCATCCTTATTGTGAATACTAAAAATTCTGTTATTTCTTTTATTTGTTGATTAAGACTTACTATTGTTGGCTTTTTGGGCATGAGGGAGAAGAAAGATAGAAAAATTTCTCTATTTGGATAGTAAAATATTAGAGGGGAAGTGAGGGGTTTTTCATTCCGTTATCATCATCATCATCATCATCATGATTATGATTATCATTATTATCATTCTTTTACATTTTAGTCTAACCAAATGAGTGGAGGGGAGTTTGTTTTCTTTAAATTAAATATGAGGTAATGCATGGATGATTCTTTTATTTCAAAATTTTTTGGATTGCTTTGTTTTTGTTTATTATTTGGGAAATTTAGTAACAAAATAATGACAAGTTTTATAAGGATTCTTATTTCAAGATTCTAAATGATTTTCTCTTATTATTTATAAAAATATTAAATTTTAGTTAATTTTTCATATTCAGTTTAATTTATTTAATAGACAACTTGGTATATTTTGCTGACATAACCTCCTCTATATTTTATTAAACATTAATACTGAGGGGACTATTTTTCTCAAACCTATTGGTAAAGAAGGGATTTTCAAATATCATAATAACAAATAGATTATGAGGTTTACTAGGAATATAAGTATTATTAATAGAGTAAGTGTTATGTTTTGAGACAGAAGATAACTTTGAATTTTATTATTATCAAGGTTTTCTAAAATTAATATTGAGTTTGATTTTTTTTTTTTATACTATTCAACTATTGTTTGCCAATGTCTCTAACATTTTGAATTGCAAAGAACTTATGAAGATTGTTCTAGCTCAACACTACAATATTTCAATAAGGATAGCTATATGTGTACTAACCAACTTCTTAAGATGGGAACATCATTTTCTTTAACTTTTGTTGTTTTTTTTATAAATATTCATATTTTGTGGTTACATTTTATCTTACTTATGTACTAGGGGTTTACTTTCTCAAACCACCCTATTGAACTCTATTTTATTGTACTAATATAATTTTGTCATTTTTTCTCAAAAAAAGAAGAAAAAAATAAATAATAACTTTTTCTTTTTCAAAACATTAGTGTTACTCTTTTTATTTCAAATGTTTAAATAATAGTATGTTTGGGTTGAGGGAAGGGAAAGAT